CTATGATAATTGCTAAGAGACTAAGCCAATTTACACAAACACAACAATTCATTAACCCATACCATTGTCATAAATTTTTGTTAGGTGAATACTTCTATACTAATCGTAAGATAATTGTCTTAGTTGCATGTATTTTTGTTAAGGCTCAACTATAACTACGTGTTGATTATTATGTTTTATTCATTATATAAATTGTGAATTGTTGCATTAACCGGAAAATTTTCATCGTCAATGATAATATGATTTTATATTGGTTAATCTGGTTAACCAATTAACCAAACCGATTAAACTTTAGTTTGGTTAATTTGGTTGTTGTATTAGTTTGGACAGTTTGGTTATGATATTGTATTATATGGTTAATGGAATTTAGGCTTATTTGGTTTGGTTATAAGTTATAACCATGGTAATCATTTGAACACCCCTACTTATCACAGGTGCTAGAGTTGAGGGGGGACAAGAAGTAGACATCCATATTATCTTGGTAGAAACAATTATTGATAGTGGATCGTAATTAGCAGCCAATTTGGGTGTTGTGGTTCCTAAAGTAGAGTTCAATTATAGACGAAAGTATTTTTGCAATGCTACTTCGCGAAAAGTTCTAAACAAATACCACATATAGATACCACATATAGAAAGGTGGCAGGTGGATTTTGGTGGTTACAGCTTTTTTGTAGTATTTTTGCAATGCTACTTCGTGAATTTGTTTATTTAACACTATCTACCATCATAGCACAATTCATTAGCTAATGACACTGTTTCTTTGTCAAAAGAGAGTGGAAATAATGATGTAGTTGAAATCTGGAAGAGTTCCCCTTGACCCGTTACAAGTAATATATATGATTTGAATGTTCTTTACCTGTTGCGGTCACAATTTTGGTTTTTGATTGCTTATATCCTTACAGTGTGTGTAGAGCCTGATTCTGAAGTTTGACATTCTCTTTGCCGTGGTCTGTGGATATGTGTATTGCTATGTATAATTGCATTACTTGATTAAGCTGCAACCTTGCTATGCATAATTTCATTACTTGATTAAGCTGCAACCTGCTACCAATTATGATACATTTACTTCGCATTCTATTTAAAAGTCCTTAGTATCAATCTATTCTCATTATGTATGATGTTGTTGGAACAGGTTTGTGAAGATGCCATGATTTGAATGAATTTTGCATGGAAAATTTGGAATCAACGGCTAGTAATGATCTCCAATATGATTCTGCTTTCATGGTTAGTCAGAACTCAGTATGGACAATTTCAGTTCCTAGGATCCAGACGTAACTTCTTCCTTTCATGTCATGGTTTATTGCAATTCTAATGAATGAATTTTCTTTGGTAGTTTTTCGGTATTGTTTAACGTTTGATTAGAGTTCCCTAGCGAATTTCTTATTTTCAATCATTATGTCAGTCCTGCAGCTCCTTGATGTTCCACACAGAGTTTCTTCTCAGCCCATTACTTGTTGTCTTTCTTGAACTTCACTAGTTTGGAATGGGTGGAAAACACTGCCTCCTGCAACTTCCAGTTTTGCTCTACCACCAGTGGTTTTATCACATTGACAATTTCCAACATCACTAGAGACTTGCTCAAAGAAACATAGATTCCTCAAAGACTCGGAAAGCGCAGAAGAAAGAGTGGAAACCTCGAACAACAGTTATCTTTTGCATTTGAGATACAGAGGAGTATGGCATGGTTCTACTCTTTCCTCCCCGTCATTATATCTTAGTTATGTGTGCATGTGGCATAAGCAGAAGGAAAAACATAACCTACTGCTCTAAACATGCAGGTAAGATCAACTAAATGGGTTGAAGACAAGAACCCAGGCGTGGCATGGTCTCTACTCATTTTTTGTTTTGTTTTGTTTTTTTCATTCTATCTTGGTTATGTGTGTGAATGTGGCATAAGCAGAAGGAAAAGCATAACCTACTACTCTAAACATGCAGATAGGTTCAACTAAATGGGTTGAAGACTGGAACCCAGGTGTTGAAATCAAAAGTGGTGGCATAGTGTGAGCGGATCTCTTGACCATTGAAAATGAGCAACAAAAGTATTGGTGAAGAGAAACCTCTTGGACATTGAAAATAAGCAACAACCGTATTGGTACAGTCCATGCGCTTTCATTTTCTTTATAAACTTCATTGTCTCTGTATTTGGTGCACTATATGTCACTTGATTGTGGTTGGTGCTTCTCCACATATAGTCTATTAATTGATTGGTTTCAGTCATTATTTGCGAGAGACATGTGCTTCATTCATCGTGATACTCAGGCAGCCAACGTACTCTTGGATTCAAGCTCGAAGCCAATGTACTTTACGCAAGCAGGGTGATGGGAACTTTCGGGTAATGTTCTAAGAAGTTTTTCTTTTTTGAAGTGGTGAATATTATAGTCAACTCTTCTGAACTCAATTTGTTCATGCATTTGCTTTGTTTTTATGTAGATACTTGGCTCTCGAGTATGCTTCAAGTGAAAGCTCTCTGACAAATTCGGTGCATTATCCTTTGGAGTGATGCTTATGGAGCAGATTAAGTTTCTTTGCTTCATCTTTGAGTTTTCATATGCGGAGCAGGCCTTCCAGTTACTTCAGAAAAGATAATCAACTTCATTGTTGTATCGTTGTTATGGGAAAGGTTAGTACAGTCACGAGTCAACTGTGACACTCATTTGATGATTGAACTTCCTCAAAAATTCTAGCCACCAAAGCAAGTGATAACTTCTTCTCCATGCTTCCATATCAAGAGTCAAGTCCACCCAATGTTGGGAAATTCGATATATTTTGAAGAGGAAGGAAATGCAACAGGACTTTACATCATCCAATTCATATCTAGCAGTTTCGACTGGGAGTTTGGACAGTTCTTGCTCAAGCAGAAAGTTGCAACTTGCAAGTGACATTGACAGTTTTGCTGAAAGATGTTAAATACATTTAGCTATACTCATGGAGTCTTTTGAGTTGATTACTTAGCTGCAGATCAATGAAAGTCACTTTATAGTGGTCCAGTATGGTCAATTTGTATTAGAGAAATGTTGTCATTAAGGATTGTACTTACATGCAGTTGAAATGTTGAAAGAGGCAGGAAAATAATCCTAACTTCAACTAGTACTCTAATTTTGGGTTATATGACCAAAAAAAAAAAAAATCAAACCCAACGTTAGATTCTCATGGTCCTTGGATTTCAAATCCTATAAAATAGTTTATGCATCATATGAACTGAAGGACACATAAACTATGGAGAGTAATAAGATTTTGGTTTCAGGTTTGCCTATTTGGTTTTGGAAAATCACCAAGTGATGGAGCATGTATGTCAAAGGTGATATTAGAATTTATGTTATTTGCTTGGTAAGTGTTTATCGACTCTGCGATTTTAGGTTGTATTGAATTGGACGAGAATGCTAAATGGATATTGGTCAATATTATTTGAGATTGAAGAGTAACCGATAATGAGTGACCGAAAAATGGGTTTCTAACTTCAAAATGTGATTACTTTTCAGGGTAAAACTCAAATAATGTCGGTCCAATGAAAATATTAACTAATTGCGCTCAAAGAAACATTATTTGTTCAATGACCTTGGTCTCATTACTCATGAGTTGGCTACAAAAGATAACTACACTTTAGTACCTTTCAAGAGCCATTATGTTCTAGAGTCGGCCATCTTCTCTCCAGTATTTGCTTAGTGTCCTTGGTCCTATCAGTTGGCGAGAAAAATCTAATAGTAACAGATTAACAGTACATTCCAATGGCCATTATGGCCTAGAGTCAGATCTCTTCTCTTCCGTATTTGGATTTAGCTTCTTACATAGCCTTCCTTTGGAGATTCTATAGCACATGGATTTTATGTCTGTCTTTATGTGGGTTCTGCTCGAGAATTCAGAGTGGTGTCGAAACTAGCAGGCTCAATCTTATTATGAGTTTGCTTAGGTATCCTTATCAATTAAGTGTTTACTTCCATTGTCAGTAACATATCTTTTTGGACAGAGTACTTCAGTGAATTTTGTCCCCATATTTTTTTCACTACTACAATTCTTTGTACACGCGTTGAATGTTGCTATCCTTTACAACTAAAGATAGCTGAAATTTTACTACGACAATGTGGGTGTGGATTGATTTTATGTCTAAAGTCTATTTCTCTTATTATTATATTGTTTTTAAATATACTATGTTCCTGCGGCGTAACTGGGGTATTGATACTAGTATCAACAATTATCCCATGCCATATTCCATGTGTAGTTAGGGTAGACTAGGATTGGAATTGTGCTTTCTTTCTACACATGTGCATGCAGTGATAGATGATACAATTCTGGGTTTATCAACTTTGATTTTAAGCGAGTAATTGTGTTTGTGTGAAGATGGAGAATGTCATTTACTAGAATCAGTGGTAAGATTATTTTAGGTGTGTACGTTGACCTCTTGACTTACTAGAAGCACTGGTCATGATGCGTCGAGATTATAGCAGCATAGATTTTCCTTTTTATCGACAAAGTGTTTTTTATCATAAATAAAACTAGGCGCATGTATATTCTTATACTTTTTTTTATAACAAAATCCTTATTATAAAAGAAAATTTGCATGTTTATTCTTAAAATGGTGACATTTTGGTCTATAGTGCTCCCTTCCTCCTAGTTTTTCATGAGTTAACATACTTGAGGGTGATGGAGTTGCCTATACATCACAAACGTGCTACTCGGTTGTGTGTCTAAACTAATCTAGCATCGGTTAGCTTGGAAATTGGACTACTAAGGGACTAGAGCTATGAATGAGAGATGTAGCAGTAAAGCTGCTTGATGAGCTGTGAAACTTAGCTCTTCGTGTGTCATTATTGTGAAGTTGTAACCAACCAAAAGAATCCCCCACCACGAGGACCAAGAAAGGCCACCCACCATCTTATTCTTCACCACCACCATTAAATGCTCTTCCTCCCTTTCTCTCTCAACTGCTTGTTAATCACCAAACTCAACCCCAACTGACCCAAAAATTCATTATGAATCCAATCCAAAAAGGCCAAAGCAATCACATTAGGCATGTAGCTACATCTTGAGCCAGCTACCATAACACCAGAAACCACCCAACACCTGTCTCTCCTTCCATATAACCTCTCTCTCAACCCCTCTCCTTTCCATTGATAAACTTCCCTCTCAAAAACCATGGAGTCTTTCTTCCCCAGGAGGCTCTCCAGCTACCAGAAGCTGGACTACGGTGTTGAAGAGTCACAAGATGGAGGAGGTATTGGCCATTTTGATGGTAGTTTCATTGGAAGGCCAACAGCTAGGAGCAACTTGTTCAGGTTCAGAAGGGTGCAATGGAGGCGGAGGAGAAGGAGATCACCATCATCACCAGGCTTCATCAGGGTCAAAGTTTCGAGCTTGATTAGGAGGAAGAGAGTGGTGATGAGGATGGTTAGAGCTTCCATCAGGAAAGTGCTGAGGAGGTTGAAAGAAGGCCATGCTCATTTCGGTGATCTCTTTGCTGGGAACTATCTCTTCCTGCAGATCAATCCCACTTCTTTGAAGTCCTTGCAGAAAAGTTACAATAGTACTCCTCCTGGTTTTCACTTTAGCCCCAGGATTCCTCAATCATGATTGAGATTTGAACATCTTTGGTGTTTGTTGAAGTTGGTTCGGTTTTAGTAGTCTGTAGTCATTAGATGATGTGATCTTCTATCTGTGTCAAGTGTAATTTACTTTCTAATCTAATGTTTCTCCTCTTTTGAAATACCTTCTTTTCTGACTTTCCCCATCTGTAATCCTTCTGATTTCATTGGACTGGGTAGAAATAAATGGCTGACTGAATTCAGCGGTGTCTGAATGTACTGATTTTGAAAGTTCTGTGATTTATTACATGAGGAAGAAGTTATGTACTTTTACTTCTTAAGGCAAATATAAGGAGTTGATAATTGGTGGGTATGCAGTGTATTTGGCAGAAAGAATGGCGCTAGTTAATGGGCCAGTTCTATATTCTTCTTACTTGTCCTGTACCAGTCACCATTCCTTTATGCTCCATGTGAGGTTGCATGGCTGAATGAGGCATGGGGTTGTAGAAAAATACCATGCATTTGCCCAACTGGGTATGATGATATGGACCCATCTGGTTTTCTGGCATCCATGTGTATCCGTGCTTGCAGTTTTCCAGTTGATGGTAATTTACACAGGAGGTAATCGAATTCAAGGGAATCTTACATTACAACTTAGTTTCGTGTATGCATTTGGTCATTCAGCTGATACAAATCCCTTCGGTTATCACTCTTGCTGCTCGAAGATCTCGATCATCATCTTCGATCATCAGGTCGATCGTATTAGAACTTGGACCGTCCGAGTCATTCATAGCTACAGAGATGGTGACTTTATATCTTTCCAAGCTAAGTCGTACAAACCTCATACAGAATGGTTTGAACTTAGTAGCTCTCTAAGCTAGATACTAAGTCAGCATCCAGTTACATTGACCATGGAGCTTCAGCCAATTTTGTGAACCTCACCTCAACATCCTCCTCATTTTCCAATCTCTCTATCTCTTCATCAATCCTCTTCATTCTACCCACCGATTTCTCTAGTTTCGCCTTCAAAGCCTTCACCTCCTCTCCCACTTCAACTCTCTCAGTCTTCAATTTCTTGCACCTATTGGCATGGTCAGAAAGCCCTATGAGCTGCCTCAACCTGGTGAGTATGAACTCCACATTCATTCCCAGCTTCTCGAATCCTGACAATGTGTTTTCCCAAGTTGCAAACTCTTCCTTCTGTCGAGTACCGAACTTTGCAGTCCTTACTGCATCAGCAATGTTAGTGGTCTCAGCGATTATTCCGGCTATCAGCTTACAGTTAAGCCCATTGGGAATATGTTGGTGCAGGAAAGACTTCTGGCTGCTGCATAGTTCGTAGTACTTGTACTGAAGCTGTTTGGAGAGTTCACAGTTGATGATCAGGCCGTTAACCACAATGTCAAAGTCATCAAAGTTCTTCACTTGCTGGAAATCAACAGCTGGTTGATCTGATGACATAATTATCCCATCTGAGATATCAAAACCGAAATCTTCCTTGCTTCCATTCTTGGGCTCGTCTTTATGTACTATAATTTTGCAGTTGGTGATGCTGGTCTTCTCGGCTTCTTTGGCACTTGTCTCGACCTTTCTCTTGGATCTTCTACTCGCTTGCTCTGAGGCACTTGCTCTCACTACGTAGACCTAAGGAGATGGCAAAACAGTCAAATATTCTACCCTTAATTTCAAGTAGAAGACACGCAAACTTTAGGCTGTAGGGAAAAAAAGAGAAGTCACCTTGAACTTGGTCGGTTCAAGTAACTGAAAAACCACAACATCGCCTTGAGCTAACTTGTGATGGATGGAGAAAGCTCTCCATCCGCCGCTAAGACAATGCTTACTAGCTAAGAATTGGGCGGGATAAACTTTGCCATTGTCATCTTCTAGGTCGATCACCTTGTCCTTGTCAGGCAAATGCTTGTAGCAGAACCCTGCCACAAGATGCTGTCGTGACCGCAGCAATCCAGATAAGATACAAGCATCCAACACTCCCGGGGCGGAAAAGACATTGACAAGACAAAACACCATGTCGAATTCCCAATAGACTTACCAAGGAAAACCCAATATGTGAAGGGTGCATAAGCTTCATCAAGGTAGGAAAGTTTCCAGGTAAACTAGAAGCAAACTCATGTGCTTTTCTCATTGCAGCATTGTCTACCTCGCCACTTACATACAGATTCTCCATGGAGGCCCTCTTCCCCATAGAACTGAAGATATCTTTCTGATTCTTGACTGACTTTACAGGAGACTTGATTGCGACTATATCTGCTTCCTGTTATAAGTACTGTTAGACAGTCAATTAGTTTACTGTGGAACAATGTTCAAGTGGGATAATCATGCTTTTGAATCCTGTCGAAATAGGTTGACTCATTTTGACAATGCATAAACATTTGCGAAAGAATGATGACTAATGAAAGCAAATTACTAAATCGGGTCAACCAGATCAGATCAAAATTCTTAACCTGAGGTAGACCAAGCACATACATATTCAAGCTTTCTTCCTTTGTTTCAAAACCCTTTTCCTTTCCCTTCCTATTTCTCCACAACCCCCTACGTTAAACATCTCTTTCAAAGTTCAGAAAAAAAGGTAAATAGCTCATGCATTCAGCTTTTCACTAAGAACCCTCCAGACCCAATTTGATTTCAGTAATGATCATGCAAGGAATGAACCGCCAAACAACTGGATGAAAGCAAGCTAAAGAAAGAAATCTCAAAAGGGCAATTGAAGCAAACTAAACAGATCTTCAGAAGGGCATTGTTGAGTGCCACCAAACAAAGCTCATTAGAGTAGAGACTGAAAGAAAGAGAAAGAACGGAAGCGGAGTCGGTATTCTCGCCTGATTGCTGCAGGAAACAGCCCCGTCGCAAACTTCCCGTGGCCTTCTCTTCTTCGCCTGCAGCAGAATCAGAGTAGGCGATCAGCCGTCAATTGTCCAGCTCAAAGCTTTCACTCATGCAGCAGATCAAGAATGTAAAATGACAAAAGGAGGGTCTTTAGCATTGGGTTCGGCCTGATATCTCTTAGCTTGAAGAACGGTCATGATGCTAACCACACTAGCAATTCTTTCTTCTTCTCTTTTGGGGATGAATGGATTGCTGCAGCAGGAATTCCAAGCTGCAGTCTTTCCACAGAGACCAGAAGGGTAGAAGAGAAACAAATGAAAACAAATGCAGTTATGTGAAGATTGGTTCAACTAATTCATCCGAGAAGAAGGTTGGGTTGGGCTTCTAAATCAACTGGCTAGCTACATGCATATGGAAAATTACTTCTTGGATACCCAACTCGTCTTATTTAGTCATCAGTCGAAGTGGTAAATTTAATTTAGATAACCATAATATTTGCTACTCATTTACAATATTTGGTCGTTTGATTTGATTTGCTACTCCGACCTTCAAATGGTAGCAAATTTATGATGTAAAACTATAACAATTCACATTGAATTTTAATCATTACTGTTAGAGAGTGGTATAAGATCCAGCACAACCTTCTCCCAACAACTCGAGTTATTGGGACCAACTGGTTTATGACATGGTATCAGAGCCTAGAACCGAAAGGTCATGTGTTCGAATCTCCACGACCCCCAATATTAACCGTTGTCTTTCAAGCACATGGTATGACCGTTGTCTTTCAAGCACATGGTATGGTGTGAAGAGGAACTTGCTCCTCAAGATACTCTAGTTCTGTTAGTTGTTGTTAATAGGTTGTTATTTGTGGAACGTTGCCACCATGGGCAGTTCCTTATTTCACTCCTTGTATACAGCAACTCCCTGCTGCTTTGTACTATAAATACACTGATGGAATAATAGAAACTCACTTCTTGGGTCTTCATGGTATCAGAGCCCTAAAACCTCTAACGAGTCATTTCCTCCTTTCTCTGTTATTTGCCCAGCTTTCCTTCTTTCTTCAAGCCCAGAATGGCTACTGAATCATCTTCCTCATCCTCTGTTTCTTCTTCTTCTTCTTCCGGCGACACTGTCTCTATGCCGGCTCTCTCGATCTCTTTGCCAGCTAATCCTCAGCTTTCCATTAAGCTTACTCCTACAAACTATCTGTTATGGCATGCACAAATCACCCCTCTTCTCCGTTGCCATCAATTAATGGGCCATGTCGACGGTTCTCTTGCTGCTCCACCGCAATTCATCGACGGTCATTCCAATCCCGCGTATTGGTCGTGGTATGTACGTGATCAATACGTACTCACTTGGATCAACTTCTCTCTTTCTGAGGCAGTGTTACCCAACGTTGTCAACAAAGCTACCGCCTTCGATGCTTGGACTGCGCTGGCCACTATTTACGCTTCCGGGTCTCATGTCCAAGTTCGGCATCTCGGCAAAGCGCTTCAACACATCCGCCGCGGTGACGCTTCCATTCACGACTATCTTCAGGATGCGAAGTCCAAAGCTGATCAGTTGGCCGCCCTGGGTTCTCCTGTTTCCAATGATGATCTTACTGGTTGGATTCTCGATGGCTTGGGTGAGGAGTATCGGCCCTTTGTGCGCCACATCGAGGCTCGTCTGGAGCCCATCTCTTTTGAAAATCTTCACTCACTGCTATTGAGCGAGGAGCTCCAGCTGCAGCGCTACGCTGTCCGATCTGAGTCTCCGGCGCCGAGTGCTTTTTTCTCCACCACCGGCGGCTACCGTGGTCGCGGTGGTCGTGGTCGAGGACGGGGGTTCTCTCGCGATCGTTCCTATGCTCCTAACCCTGCTGCTTCTTCGTTTTACAGGCCGCCCTCTGGAGGTTTGCTTGGGCCTCGGCCCAACGGAGTTGTTTGTCATAATTGTGGGGGTCGTGGACACAAGAGACCGCAATGCCCTAGCCCAGCTGCTGCCACTAATTCGGCCCATCAACCCCATTACACTGCCCCTGCCCCTCTGTACACTTCGGCCCATCCTTCGCCAGGCCCACATGCTCATTTTTCCTCATCCCCAGCCCAATCTTCCAACCCATCTCAATGGCTCCTTGACTCGGGCACAAATCATCATCTCACATCGGATTTAGACAATTTGGCCCATCACTCGGAATATAATGGGACCGATCAAGTCACTTTTGGCAATGGTAACTCTCTTCCCATATCTCGTCTAGGTTCTTCCACTGCTTCTTTATCCGATACTTCTATTTCATTGGATAATATCCTTCATGTGCGTCAAGCTCCATATAATCTTCTCTCAATCAGCTCCCTTACTCGTTCTAATCCCGTGTCTATTGAATTTTTTGACTCTTTGTTTCTTATCAAGGACCGACGCACGGGGCGTGAAATTCATCGCGGTTATGCGGTAGATGGCCTCTACTCTCTGCCTCTCACCATCTCTCGCAGTCTCTCTCCTGTTGCTTGTGCCGCCTCCTTCGATACTTGGCATCGTCGTCTTGGTCACGCTCATGAACGAGCAGTTAAACGCCTTCTCCATCAAAATCAAATAAAGTTTACATCTTCCCCTGCTTCTCTTTGTCATGGTTGTGCTGTCAGTAAAATTCACAAACTCCCCTTTTCTCCATCCACGTTTCGTGCCAATGCTCCGCTTGAACTAGTTTGCAGTGATGTATGGGGCCCCGCGCCTATTTTGTCCTACGATAATCAATCCTATTACATCCTTTTCTATGATCATTACAGCAAATTCTCGTGGATTTATTTTGTTCGTTATAAGTCCCAACTCCTAAATGTATTCATTCAATTCCGTCAACTCGTTGAAAAATATTTTGGCCTTCCCATCAAGTCATTTCAATCTGATTGGGGTGGCGAATATCAAGCATTATCTGCTTACCTCTCTCAACATGGCATCGCCCACCGTTCCTCTTGTCCATACACTCCTGAACAAAACGGTTGTGCCGAACGTAAACATCGGCATATCGTCAATAACGGGCTTGCCCTTCTTCACCATTCCAGTGTTCCTCTTAAATACTGGCCTCTTGCCTTTGACACCGCCTGTTATCTCATCAATCGCACTCCAACTCCGCTTCTTCAACATGAATCCCCCTTTCAATTTCTTTTCCATCGTTCTCCCGACATAGCAAATCTTCGTGTTTTTGGGTGTCTCTGCTATCCTTGGCTTCGCCCTCTCACCGAAAATAAGTTGTCCCCTCGTTCTGTTCCTTGTGTTTTTTTAGGCTACAGTAAACTTCACAAGGGTTATCGTTGTCTCCACATTCCTACCGGCCGAATTTATGTTAGCCGCCATGTTCTGTTCGATGAGAATTGTTTCCCCTTTGCTGATGTGCCCCCGGTCAAGGATGCCCTCTCTCCTACACACTCGGCCATACCTATTTTGTTACCTGCTCCCCCTCCTCCCCCCGCAAAATTCCCAGCCCAATCTTCACCTTCACCCCACGCTTCGACAAGCCCGGCCCGTTCCTTAAACCCGTCTCCTTCCCCCTCTTCCCATAAGACATCTCCCGGCCCATCAGATTCCCAGCCCACAAACCACATTTCACCCTCACCCGGCCCGCCGAACACTCCTTCCCCACCCATCGTCCCTTCCCCTGCTCCCCCTCGACCCCTAATTCAGTACCAGCGCCGCCGCCCTCCGCTTCCCTCTTCCATTGTCCAAACCAAACCCACCTCCCCTTCTGTTCCTCCTCCTCGTTCCACCCCTCTCCCTCCTCGTCGCCCGCCACCGAATCGGCCTCCTTTCAACACTTCCCCTCAACCCATTCCTGTCATTAATCCCACCTCTTCTACACATCCCATGACCACCAGAATTAAAACTGGCAACCTCAAGCCTAAAGCACTTTTTTCCCACCACCATACTGATGATACCCCCACAACGGTGACTCAAGCTCTCAAAAACCCCCTGTGGCGCGCGGCTATGGCAGAGGAAGTTACCGCTCAACTACGAAATCAAACATGGGATTTGGTTCCTCGGCCGCCGAATTGCAACCTTCTATCCAACAAGTGGGTTTATCGCACCAAGCTACTTCCCACTGGTCATTTAGACAGACGCCGTGCCCGGCTTGTAGCTCGTGGATTCGAACAAATACCGGGACTTGACTTTCAACAAACTTATAGCCCGGTTCTGAAGCCCGCTACTCTGCGGCTGATTCTCGGCCTTGCTGTTACTCAAAGCTGGCCGCTTCATCAAATTGACATTGCTAATGCATTCTTACATGGTGAGTTGCAGGAAACTGTATATATGCAGCAGCCCCTTGGTTTTGTTGATCCGGACAAACCAGACCATGTTTGTCGCCTCCGGAAATCTATTTACGGGCTTCGACAGGCCCCTCGCACTTGGTTTCACTGCCTTGCTGCTGCTCTATCCAGGTTCGGCTTCTCTGTGTCCCGCACCGATCCGTCGCTCTTCATTTACAAGCCCGGTGACATTCGATTGTATATGCTTGTCTACGTGGATGATATAGTCATCACGGGTAATGATGCCTCTGTTATTCAACGGCTGTTTGCCTTTCTTCGTGAGAACTTTGCCCTCCGGGAGATGGGGCCTTTATCCTATTTTCTTGGTATTGAAGTTCACCGGTCCTCTACTGGTCTTGTTCTTCAGCAGCGCAAGTTTATTAATGATCTTCTTGACCGTGCAAAGATGTCCAATGCCAATGCCATCTCAACTCCCTGTACCAGTGATATTATTCAGAACTCGGCTATGGATTCCTCACCGCTATTTGCTGATCCTGTGCAGTATCGTAGTATCGTCGGCGGGCTACAATATCTCAGCTTTACTCGGCCAGATATTTCTTTTGCTGTCAATCACGTCTCACAGTTTCAACACTCCCCGACGGATAACCACTGGGCTGCAGTCAAACGAATCCTCCGTTATCTTCGCGGTACTCTGGATCGTGGCCTTGTCTTCACCAAGTCTTCCTCCCTTCATGTTCACGGATATTCCGATGCGTCTTGGGCCTCCTGTCCCAAAGACCGCAAGTCCATCACGGGATTTGCAGTATTTTGTGGTGCCAATGTAGTGTCCTGGTCCACTCGCAAGCAAAAATCAGTCGCTCGCTCATCAACAGAATGTGAATATCGTGCCCTTGCCACGCTTGCTTCTGAGGTAATTTGGCTCCGAACTTTACTTCATGAACTTGGCCAATCTATACCCACTGCTCCGACTGTATGGTGTGATAATCTTGGTGCCACGTTTCTTGCGCACAATCCGGTGTTTCATAATCGGTCCAAACACATGGAAATAGAGTTTCATTTTGTTCGTGATCAAGTGAGCAAAGGGCAGCTGCGTGTTCATTACTTACCGGCTCCAGACCAGCTAGCGGACGTATTGACAAAACCATTATCAAGGCAGTCTTTCAACAAATTTTGTTCCAAGTTCCGGCTCACAGAGCCTTCACTTGCGGGGGCGTGAAGAGGAACTTGCTCCTCAAGATACTCTAGTTCTGTTAGTTGTTGTTAATAGGTTGTTATTTGTGGAACGTTGCCACCATGGGCAGTTCCTTATTTCACTCCTTGTATACAGCAACTCCCTGCTGCTTTGTACTATAAATACACTGATGGAATAATAGAAACTCACTTCTTGGGTCTTCATGGTGGGCCTGTGCAAACTTCAAGCCCATGGGTTGGCTTTCGTTTGAGGGGGCGTGTTAGAGAGTGGTATAAGATCCAGCACAACCTTCTCCCAACAACTCGAGTTATTGGGACCAACTGGTTTATGACAATTACAAGTTTGGAACGAAATTGTCAATTATTATCAACAGTTATCGTAAATAGTTGACAAACTGGCAATGTCCAAATCTGATGAGTTTGGATGTGAAAGATTGCGAGGAATGTCAACAGTTATCGTAAATAGTTGACAAACTGGCAATGTCCAAATCTGATGAGTTTGGATGTGAAAGATTGCGAGGAATGTACAGAGTACAGACTAAATGGGGTAATACTGTGCCAGAGAGTACACTACAGTCTAACCATATGCTTCATTCAGAGTTTCTAACCTTAGCTTCTGCAGCTCCAAATTCATTGGGTGAAGGATCAGCTCAACTAGTAGCAAACCATTACAAACAAATCGATGTATCATGTTCAAGAGCTTACTTTTCTAAAGCTCTGTACATTGAAACTCTTGTGCACAAAGTGAATTACCAGTTACCCGTAAGTCAGCAAGTCACATTCACCATGGAGATTTAGCCAATTCTCTGTACCTCACCTGAACATCATCTACCTCCAACCTTTCGATCTCTTCATCAATCCTTTTCGTTCTTCTCACCCACTTCTCGAGCTGCACCTCCAGAGCCTTCACCTCCTCTCCCACTTCAGCTCTCTCAGTCTTCAATCTCTTCAACCTATTGACATTGCCACAAAGCCCCATGAGCTGCCTCAACCTGGTTAGTATGAACTCCACATTCATCCCAAGCTTCTCAAATGCCGACAAAGTGCTCTCCCAAGTCACAAACTCTTCCTTCTGTGGGGCACCAAGTTCTGAAGCCCTTATGGCATCAGCTATATTTATGGTCTGGGAGATTACCCCGGCAATCAGCTTACAGTTGAGACCATTGAGGATTTGTTCATGGAGGAACAACTTCTGGCTGCTGCATAGTTCATAGTACTTGTGCTGGAGCTGCTTAGAGAGCTCACTATTGATCACCAAGCCATTCACTATAATGTCAAAGTCAGCAAAGCTCTTCACTTGTCGGAAATCAATAGTGGATTCTGATGACATCCTAATACCGTCGGGGATATCGAATCCAAAATCTTCATCACTTCCATTTTCCGACTCATCGGGTACGTAGTTATCATCAAAGGAAAGATCAGAGTTGTGGACAGTCTTGAAAGTTGCTTTGCCACTTGTGCTCAGATTCTTGGCATGAACTGGAGGGAAAGCAAGCTTTTACAATAAAATTTACCTTATTCTACCTCTACTCAGTTTCAGCTACTTCAACTCAGACTACCTTAAAAGGCATAACAAACATAACAAATCACTTGCTTGAGGGTGGGGGTGGCAGGAAGAGGGGTTTAATCTTACCAGGTTTCTTTTCCATATCAAGAGCACCATCTACTCTCTCTGACCTACTTGTCCTCACAATATAGACCTTGAGAAATGGTAAGAGTCAAAATATAGTTCCTTGAAAATTTGAACTCTTAAGCAGAAGAAACTGAAACTTCAAATAGTACCTTGAACTTGGTTGGCTTAAGTAACTGGAACACCAGAACATCTCCTTCAACTAAATCATGCTTGCCGGCAAAAGCTGCCCATCCAGCGCTGAAAGTGTTCTTATAGGCTAGATACTTTGTCGCGTGAACTTCACCATTTTCATCCTCCAACTCGATCATTGAGTCCTCCTCAGGTAAATGCTTGTGGCAAAACTCTGCCAAGAGACGCTGCCATGCCAGCACCAATCCAGTAACGTAGACATTAACAAGCATCCAAATTCCTAAATCATTGATGATAATGCAAACCATGTCAAATTTCAATAGGCTTACCACTGAAGCTCCTCTAGTAACATGTGAAGGGTGCATGACCTTTATCAATGAAGGAGAGTTTGCAGGTAGATTAGATACAATCTCCTGTGCTTTTCTCATTACATCATTCTTAGGCTCGTAAGAGCTGCAAGGCATGAAGTTCAGAAGATCTTCATGACCATCTAAAAAGAAGAAGTGATGCAGCTAAAGAGTATGAAATTGTGAGATTTTGGCTGACCTTACAGTTGACTTGATTGGAACAAAGCCTCCTTTCTGTTATATAAGCATGAAACAGTCAATTTCCCCAAATTTGATACGTTCACGGAAATTTTGGAATGGCCACCTCAAGTTTGGGATTTCTAGCCTAGGAGGAAGAAAACCATTTGACTGGAAACCTACTACAACCAGTTGATTGTCAGTCATGACCATGCAAAGGAACCACTAAAGAACTTGATTGAAGCGAACTAAAGAAATCTCGAAAGGGGAATGACTAATGAGAACCACCGAACGAAGGCCAGTAAGCAAAGACTGAATGGAGGAGAGAGAGAGAGAGAGAGAGAACCAGAGCAACCCCATCGTTGAATTCTTGCATGCTTCTTTTCTCACCCTGCAGCATAATCGAAGCAAGAAAAAGACACCAAGATTGATTCAAACAAGGAGAGAGAGATGTGAAGCTGAAAGTTACAGCTTTGCAAGTAGAGAGTAAACTTACCGAACGAGAAGGTCTTTGGAAAATGGGTTCAGCCTGCTCTTCCTTGACTTGAAGGATGGCCATGGTCCTAGTTGCAGTAGAATTTGATAACGCCCGTAGCAATTCTCTCTTTCTTCGTTCTTCTTTCTTCAGTAGCAATTCCAGTTGCAGAGCGAAGCTCAGAACCAGAGGGGAAGGAGAATAGAACACGAACAGTAATAGAACAGAAAGTAGAAATGAAACAGTCATGTGCTTTTGGGTTGGGCTTTCTTCATAAATAAAAAAGTTGGGCTGGGCTTTCATATTGGGTTAGCTCAGGACAGGATTGAGCTCTCACAGGTCACAGTCCCAAATAAAGAGCTTCTGGATCCTAATCCTTCCTTTTATTGCAAGGAACAAGAGCATTTGACTAATCTATAAACCAAGCTAGAGAGTTGAAAGCCTCTCTTTCTTAGGTCTTCAAACATGGAAATGTTACCATGGAAGATGATCTTGACAAGAGAGCATATTCTATGTTATGAAATGCATATAATGATGCTGCTACACGTGTAGAACATAGTTAGACCATTATCAGATGTCTGCTAATCACACTCTAATCTTCAAAAGCAAGCCTACGACCAAAACCACAAGTCTCCTTAGATAACTAAAACCTTACTTCTATTAGCTCCAACTTCATTTGTTGAAGGGGCCAGGCTCGACTATCAATTAGCCATTACATACAAAATAATCAATGCACCATGTTCAAGAGCTTCCTTTTCCAAACTCTTGTGCAACAAAATGAATAACCTATTTTACTAATTACTACCAAGTCAAACTGACCATGGAGCTTTAGCCAATTCTCTGAACTTCACCTCAACATCCTCCACATCGTCAATTTCCAACTTCTCGATCTCTTCATCAATCCTTCTCATTCTTCGAACCGATTCCTCGAGTTTCGCCTCCAGAACCTTCACCTCCTTGCCTACCTCGACTCTCTCAGTCTTCAACCTCTTACACCTATTGGCATTGTCACAGAGCCGCATGAGCTGCCTCAATCTGGTGAGTATGAACTCCACATTCATTCCCAGCTTCTGAAAAGCTAACAATGTGCTCTCCCAAGTCACAAAGTCTTCCTTCTGCTGACCGTTATCATTACCCACACCGCTGAACTTTGAAGCTCTTATGGCATCAGCAATGTTAATGGTCTCGGCGATTACTCCCGCTATCAGCTTACAGTTGAGACCATTGAGGATTTGTTCATGGAGGAACAACTTCTGGCTGCTGCATAGTTCATAGTACTTGTGCTGGAGGTGCTTTGAGAGCTCGGAGTTGATCACCAAACTGTTCACAATAATGTCGAAGTCATCAAAGCTTTTTACTTGCTGAAAATCAACAGCTGATTCGGAAGACATCCTTATTCCATCTAAGACATCGAATCCAAAATGAATCGCTATTTGCCGCCCGCAGTTTTACTATTTGCCGCCCGTAGTTAGAAGAAAAAAGACGATTTTGCCCTTAACCCTATCCCACCCTCAACCCATCTGCTGCCGCCCCCTTCAACCCTCCCTCCTCCTGTCGACCGCCCGCCGCCGACGACCCTCCTCCTGCCGGACCTCCCGCCGCCGCCAACTCCTCCCTCCTGCCAACCTCCTGCCGCCGGCTCCTCCCTCCGCCGCCGCCGACTTCCTCGCTCACTCTCGCCGCCACCAACCTCCCAAGCGCGGAAGAGGGATTTTTTTTTTTTTTTTTTCAGTCGCCGTCCGACTGGCCGGAGCGGACGCGGTCCGACTGGCCGGAGCGGACCCCGTCCGCCCGGTCTGGTCGGACCCCGTCCGCCCGGTCTGGTCGGACCCCGTCCGCCCGGTCTGGTCGGACCCCGTCCGCCCGGTCTGGTCGGACCCCGTCCGCCCGGTCTGGTCGGACCGATCTGATTGGGTTTATGGTTCGGTTTGAATGGTTCGGTTCAAATAAATATTTATTAGATTTATTTTAAATACAATTGTTAGTATCTTAATTAGTTTAATATTGATAGTTGAATAATTAGTATATAATTGTTAATTTGACCACAATTGGTTAAGGGAATTAGGGTTTGACTTAATTAGGGTTTGACCCGAATTAGGGTTTGACTAAATTATATATTATTTGACCACGTTGAGGAAATTAGGGTTTGACTTAATTAGGGTTTCACCCGAATTAGGGTTTGACCTGAATTAAGGTTTGATTTAATTAGGATTTGGCCCGAATTAAGGTCTGATATAATTAGGGTTTGATTTAATTAGGGTTTGACCCGAATTAGGGTTTGACTAAATTATATATTATTTTGACCATAGTTGTTTGAGGGAATTAGGGTTTGACTTAATTAGGGTTTGATTCCAATTAGGGTTTGACCACAGTTGAAATAATCTCACCCAAGATGACGGATAACAACAATAAGAATCAACTCGACTCAACTCGACTCAAGAAAATCCTAGTTACCACCCTCAGAGCCCTAAAAACACCTCGATGAAAGTTTTGGCACTATTCATCTCTTTTTGTCGGGAATGTCCGATTGATAAACAATCGATTCCAACACATTTGTATCCACATTTTAAGAGATCGATGAAAGTTTCAATATTTTTTCATGTCGGTGACTCTAGTAATTTGTAAAAGATGTTTTTGCCCGACCTTCCCCGAGCCGCAAAGAGCCCTCTTCGTGCCTCGATTCCTTGGAAGTTTTATAAAACATACATAATTATAAAATAAGTATGAATTAGTTTGTACAATATTTTTTATAATTTAACTTTTTTTCTTATGAATAATTTTTAGTTTTTCTAATTCATAAATATAATTAATAAACATACATATAATTATTAGCATGATATAATATTAAAAAAAATAGAAGATTGAGTTAAATAATTATTATCATTTAGCGACGAATTTTGTGACGGTTTTGAAACCGTCGCTAATGCACGGTCCGCTCGCTGGCGTCGGACGGGGTCCTCCCGCCGGCGTCGGACGGGGTCCTCCCGCCGGCGTCGGACGGGGCCTCCCGCCGGCTGTGGTGATTTGGTTCTGGCCGCGGTAGTAATCTGGAGGTGGTGGCGACGTCGGCGATTTGGCGGCGGTGGTGGATTGGCGCCGGCGACAGTAGTGGTGGAATGGAGTTTGTTTTATAAAAAATGAACAAAGGGTAAAAATGTCATTTTAGTTTAATTTACGGGCGGCAAATAGTAATGAGACGGGCGGCAAATAGTAACCCTCAATCCAAAACCTTCATCACTTCCATTATCGGATTCTTCTGGTTCATAGTTATCATCGGACGAAATATCAGAATCATCAACAGTCTTCATGACAGTTGCTTTGACACTTCTGCTCAGATCCTTTGCATGAGCTGGAGGAAATAAAAGGAACAAGCTTTTACTACAAGTATGAATGAAATTCACCACATTCTCCTTCTACCCAGTTTCAGCCACTTCAACAAGTAATTTGCTTGGGTTGGGAAAAAGAAGCTTACCAGATTTCTTTTCCAAAACACCATCCAGCTCCATAAGGTCAAGAGCACCACCCTCCACTTCACCTGAGCTAGATTTCTCTTCCAAACTAGTCTCCAGTTTCAGAAGGCCAAGAGCAACATCATTTTCCTCGAAATCACTTGCCCTCACAATGTAGACCTACATAAGTGGCAAAAGGGAGTCAAAATGTGCTGATCTGATGAACTCTTTAACTTTGGGTAGAAGGAACTGAAACTTTAAGCCAAGAAATTTAATCAAATAAGTTCAAACCAAGTTACCATGAACTTGTTTGCCTTAACCAACTGGAAAACTACGACATCTCCTTTAACCAATTTGTGATCGGTTGAGAACTTTTTCCATCCCCCGCTAAGTCCAGCATTTCTGACTAGACAATTCACTCGAGAGACTTTGCCATCCTCATCTTCCAAGTCCATTATGAAGTCCTTTTCACCCAAATGCTTGACGCAGAACTTTTTGCAAAGACCCTGGAGCAATGCCAAGCATCCGGTGTAAGGTTTACCCATGTCAAAATTTGTAGCATTATGATATGTCAAACTTTGATAGCACTCACTTACCAGCCAAAACCCACCCGAGATTTGAGAAGGGAGCATAATCTTTATCATGGTAGGGAAGTTTCTTGGTAGACTGGCTTCTATCTCCTGAGCTCTCTTCATTACAGCATTCTTCACTTCGCCATTAACATACACACTTTCGCTTGTCGCCCTCTTGAAGCCAGACTTGGTTGGAACAATCCCTCTTTCCTGTCATAAGCATCAATAGTAAATTATTTTCGAATTTCATGTGCTCAAAGAAAGTAGAATGCCCACTTTGAGTTAAGAATGAGTGTGTTCTCTCTTCTTCATCAGCTCACTATCATACAACGGACTGAGAGCCTTCATAGCCGAAAATGGGGAAGAAAAGGTTGCATCACATCGCTTACCTTTGTATCCTTAATCTTTCACTAGTTACAAACTTTCCAAAAGTATATAGCAAATGGCCAAGAATATGCCTTTTCAAAAACCCATTTTACTACTTCTGCACTCAAACCCCAAAGTGATATTCCTTCAAACAAAAGGTGCTAGTAGTCTAGTACCCAATAGCTGATTAATGAAATTTTGACTAAGAAGTTAGAATCTCAGAACCCACTACAGCCAGTTGATTATAGTAATGACGATGAACTTTGGCTTTGTTGGGACGAGGCAGCTCATTTCAATGATGAAAATACAGCTTGCCGGAAGCAACCAAAAAGAATCTCAAAAAGCGCATTGACGAATCACCAAACGGAAGCACAATAGAGCAAAGAGTGGTGAGAAGAGAGAAAGAGGAGAAGAGAAGGTGGGTGGGTGGGTGGGTTTCTCACCTGTTTGTTAGAGGACGAAACCTTCACCTTCCCTGGCCTACCCTTCTTCTCCTGCAACTGAACAACGGAGAAGTCAGGCTCAAAGCTTCAAATATGCAGAGCCTATAGCGTAGTAGTGTTGAAAGAAAGAGAAAAACCTGCTCTTTCTTCACTTGAGGAACGGTCATGGTTGTGGCAGTGGTAGCGATCGGTCCGTCTGGTTTATTTCTATTTTTGGTTGAGCTTTGAGATCAGAGGACCAGAATGGTGGACAAGAGAGGGAAGAACAGTGAGAAAAACAGGGGAGCTGTAGCTTTTCAAAATGTTTTACCCTTTTCAAAATGGATGTGATGGTGATGGACGGAAGTGAGTGGAGATTGGAGAATGGCTTTGTATTTTTTATTTTTTTTTTGTTTAACTGGAAAGTGGGAGAGTGGCTTGTGGAGATTGAAGAGATGGGGAAGATGGAAGGACGGTTTGGTTCAAATTCTTGCAAAACGTGGAGCTGGGTTGGACTTGGTTATTACCCTGGAGATATGATAGTAAACCCTGTAATACATACGAAAACAATGGTTTACATGTTTTTTTTTTTTTTTTGCCATAGATAGATCGTAATAGATAGGATATTACAGTGCAGTGGTAATAAAAACGCGGTAGTCAACCATATGGGTCGCTACCGATGCAAGGGCCGTTTGTGCCAATAATGCTTAGAAAATGAAAATGGAAGTTGCTACTATTAAAGGGTTGCTCAACTCCTTAATCAAAGGGGGAGAGCAATCAATCAACATTGGTTTGGAAACAATGTTAGTTAAGGAATGTCTAATTCCTTAATGAGTATTAATTTGGAAATGATTACTGTTAACACTACACTAACTATTTTAATTACCGTAAATGATTTTAACGTCGAATGTAACAGTGTAGAACCGTGAAAGATTTATTCGGTTTTAAGAAAATATATTAATATTTATAGCGAAACTATGACCAAATTGTTAATTTGATTTTACAGCGAAACTATATTAAGCTTTAGTGAATAACGAGTAATTTAATGGTAAAAAAAATAAGTTTAGTCCTCCTACTCCAGTGTTCATGTTAAACTATAAAACCCTAATATGTATCTTCGATTCAAACCATCTTATATTATTTTAGATATTTAATTACTAATTGGGAATCAAGTTAATTCGAAAGTTGATATATGTCGATATTGTAACAAACTCACGGTTCAAAAATTGATTTTAATTTTTCCTTTGACATGTATTAACTATTGACTAGCTTCACCATATTACACTTAGATGTTGCCTTACTTTATTACCATAATCTTGATATTTTACTTGCTTCAAAACTCTTAAACAATATATTTTGGAATTGTCCAGTGTTCAGGCACATTTAACTGTAAGGTTAAGCACACACATTTTTTAACAACAAGCAAAATATTTTGAAATTGAAATGGTAGCACAGAAATATAGGCATTCTAGTGCGTCTTAGTATAGAGTTGAGTGAAGTTAAGAGGGCTAAAATGACTTACCGTAAAACATTGGGGATGTACATTGTAGATGGTAGATACGACTATCACTTTTGTTCCCAGTTCCACGTCCTTTCACTCTCTGGAAAACGAGAAAGGTTTTTACTTTCTAGCTCCGACGACTAGAACCCTACTCAGAGCTCAGCTGACACCGCTCTTCCATCCATGAAATTCCCCCTTCGTTCCATTCTCGGTACACCCTTGCACTAAATCCGATAAAAGCTACGTTTTTTCGTTCCGTCATTCCGTCTAGTACTGATCTCCAATGTTGTGTACCCCCGCAGGTGCCCGGCCGGCGGTCATCCGAGCTCTGGGCCGCCGGTACTTCGCCGCAGCCGCTTCTACGGAGGAATACGCCAAGCGGAATTATGCCAATAATGTCTCCGAATACAACACCGTCGTTGCTTCCCTCACTTCTCAGCGGAGGTTTTCCCTTGCTCCTCCTCCTCCCCCTTATTTTTTCGTGTCTGAATCAGTCTGTTGGGAATTGAATCATTGTGAGAAATTTATTTCCTTTTTTTCTGAAGGGGTTATTTGTTGAGAGATGTCTACGATGATATGGTGCTGGATGGAGTGCAGCCGGGTCGAGATGTCTTCCATTCTTTGATTGTTGGAACCATGAAAAGTGCTCGCTTGCAGGATGCTTTCTACTTCAGAGATGAAATGAAAGCTATGGGCTTGGTTCCCGATGTAGGTTTTCTACATCTTCTCTAGATGATCTTATCTCATTGTTTATCGTTTCATAATACTTGCCTTGAAGTTTGGAGCTTGAACTGATACTAAATGTCATGATGGTTAGTTAGGTGAACCTGTATTAGCCCACCCTGATATGTTGGAGTAGAACGCGGCATTGTTTCATTTCTTTGACTGATTGGATGTTACGATTTTCTATGTTGTAGGTAGCGGTGTACAATTTCTTAATTTCGATGTGTGGCAAGTGCAAGAACTCTGACCAAGCAATTCAGGTTGGTTGATGCTGTTGTGAGTTTTCTAGCAAGGCCTATTAACCTTTTTGTACCCTTTTTATGCTCACTAGCCATTGCTTGGGCTGTATTTGACATTTTCCGAATCATTTTACCCATATCTTTGATGAAGATTTTAGAAGAAATGAAGAGATCCGAAGTGAAGCCAAATGGACAAACCTTTGTGTGTCTACTCAATGCCTGTGCAGCAACTGGCCGGCTAGATCGTGTGTATGTAATTCTTTCCTTATGTTAGCACGAGGATCTCTCTTTCCAATTTGTTTGATATCTCCATTTCACTGATGCTTAGTTTGTAAGGTTAGTAATTTACTTGGTGCTTCTTTGCTGCAGTTTGTTGTATATGGGCCAATCCACTAGCAAAGTTGTTGAAATGATATTTGATTAGTAAACTCTCGTCCCAATAATTTGATGGGCTGAGCAGTAGTTGAAAAGCTTGTATCAAGGTTCATACTTCATAAGCACAATTCTATTTATTTTACATGGTATAGGTATGCAATTGTCCGTGATATGACTGCAGCTGGCGCTGGCTTGAACAAATTCTGCTATGCAGGACTAATAACTGCTCATCTTAACAAGACACCTCGTGGAGATGATACAGCCAGCAAGGTAGTTGTAGTAATTTTTTGTCATCCACAATTGCCTCTCTCTTTATGATGTCTGTAACTATTTTAATTGAATGTCTTTCCTCTCAATGGCAGATTATTGAGTTAGTCGAGCAATCAAAGGGATGGTCATCGGTTGATGGAGCAACTTATGCTGCTGAAAATGTGGCGAGGGGTGTATCTGAAGAGGAGTTATATAATTTGCCAACAGCTGAATACATTCATCGGCGTGGAGGGTTCTTGAACAAGAAACTAACTGTGTATCATGTTGCACTCCATGCTTGTGCAGAACTGAAAGATGTACAGGTATATATCCCACGTCTGCAAATACACCATAATATTCTTTCAGTAACTAAGCCAAAACCAAACTTTCACGAGCTTCTTTCACTTGATATTTTCGATTCGGTCCTCATAGGCTACGGAAGTTTTGTTGGAGATGCTTCAGAAGGACAGAGAATCTCCTGATGTCTTCATTCTAATGCAAACAATGAGGTAAGTTTGTTTATAGGAAATCAGGTATATTAACTCATACGTTAGAACCATATACTGGTTAGCTGAAGTGAAGTGCACTTTCATTTAGTTTGTCTACCAGCTGAATGTAAATATCTTGTTTGCTCCTTTCTTTTCATTTTGGAAAAACGTTCCTTCTTTTTTAATTCTAGGTGCCATCTACAATGTGGCGATCTGGATCGTGGTCTTGCTATCTTTGAAGAGTACATGAATTCTGGCAAACCTAATATGATGGAGCTCTATTTGGTGAGTTTCAATACATGTAGTACCTATAACACAAGGAGCGCTTTGTCATATCTCCCTTAGTATGGATCTTCACTGTTTTTCCTTACTATTTCTGGGACAATTTCAATAGCTTATTTAGAAACAAAGTGTGGACATTCCGATGAAGACAAGCTTCGGTTTTGATTTCCTTGTGGGAAGATAGGAAACTGTAGGAATTGGATAGCAGTGCAAGAGCATCTGAACTTGTTGCTTATATTCATGTTCCTATCATTATTAGTTATATTTTCTTTGTATTCCCTGTCCTCTTATTTTTAATCCTCCCGCTGCGGAAGCCTTCTATGTCATGGTGCAAGCATCATTAAGCCTTGATTTTTTCTCTCTGGATTTTGATTGTGTAGACTCTTATAGAGGGAGCCATGGTAGGATATACTCCCAAGGGAATGCAACTTGCACAAGACACACTGGTACATAAATCGCTTTATTCTTGCTTGCTAGTTTTTGTCGATGTTACGAATTTCACTCACACCCCATGCTTGGTTGGAAAATGCAGGTAAAACTGACCGAGAAGAATTACTTCTTGAATCCCAAAATCGGAAGCGATCTCCTTCTTGTAGCAGCTGGTGAAGAGGTAATTGCAACGCTATCTACACCATTCCGACTCATCAAATCGGCTTCTTACCTTCAAATGAATTCCTTTTGCAGACCGGTGGGTACACGACTGCCAATTACATATGGGACTTGATGCAAGCTCGTAACATGATACCCACCTTCCCTGCCGTGGAAGCATACTACAAAGGCTTGAAGGTTGGTCTTCTCTCTTGCTATTCTCTCTCGTGTATTATGATGCATTGCCAAATCAATCTTTCCATTGCATAACTACTTTCCTCTGTGCTGCTTCATCTTCTTACTGTTCTTTCCCCCCTTTCAGAAACGGGATATACCTGAAGATGATGCTAGGCTGCTGCTCGTTTCTCGTACTTATGACAATCTGCTTGTCAAATTCGGGCCAAGACCAGCGGTTACGACGAATAGGCCTCCGAGAACTGCCGAGCCAGAAATGGAGCAGAAATCCTCTTCAGTAACGGAAGCCAACCAAGCATAGGCCCTCTTTACATGACGCAAGTGGATAAAAAGTCTTCGTTATTGGCTCCACTTAAAAAGAAAATTTCACAGAGATACCGGACTGTTTTTCCTTGTAGCCCTTTTTGGAAGGAGGAAACACCACATGACATAACTTATGTAGGAGTTCCATGATAAGGTTGATTGATGCTCTTCCATACCAGTTAGGAATCAAAATTTTATGTTTTGTGCATCAACTCGACTCTTGAATTTTATCTCTCGTTTCTTACGAAGCATTTGACAATGGTGACTCTGAATGGAGTGAATCTTTTTGATTGCTTGAAGAAGGGCATTAGTTTATCGTTTGAGTTTATTCGGAGAAGAGTGGATAATTCAAGTACGATCCTTTTGTATTCTCTCTCAATGACGAATTTCTTGGCTTGTGCAACTTGTGATTTGGGATGATGTGTTTATCAAATGTGACGAACCTCGTTAGTAACGAATGAATAAAAGTAGTAGCAATATGAGAACTTGTTTGTTAAAATTTCATAATACAAGGATGTAATTTGGTAAACCA